TTTTTAGTAGCTGAAAAAATTGCAAATCCATTTTGTTGTTTGAATTACAAAATCAGGACACAGAAAGGCTGGCCACACTGGCAGTTTATTTAAATGAGATGATTTGCATTGTGGAAATGGTGAAATCATCTAATTGGGTCATTTTATTTTATCAAATAACATGAGACAATTTATGATGACAAGAACACCCTGGGTTGTTTGGGTCATAATTATAGCCTGAAGCAAGAGTTCAGATCTACTGCAAGTTGATTTATGTTGATGATGCCGCTCGATTGTCTGGGCCAATGACAAGCCTTCACTACAGAGATTTATTATGGCCTTAAGGCACAATGCTGAATAACAACAATGCTGAATATCTTCACACAGGTTTGTGTTTCCCAGATGGCATGGGGTGAAGTGTAGTCATATAAAAGTAAGTACAAGCAGTAAAAGTCTACAACATTACACATAAGACGTCTTGCATTTAAAATGTCACTTAAGAGTATATATCTGTAAATATTCTAAAAGTAAAATTTGTCATTATACAGCATGTCCCCTTTCATGATGCAACACTAAGCTGTGTTTTAATGTTGTAGCTGACCAAGGGTAAGTAAATTTGAACTATTTTATAAGTGTAGTTTAAATATTCTTCCTTATTTATATGATACATCTCTGTATGTAGAATCTGAATCTGCAGATAAAAACACTGGATTAAAAAGTGTAATATTTGTCTTTAATTGTAGCAAAGTAGAAGTATAGCTGAAATAGTAAAGTTGGGCACTTCAGAAATGTACTAGTACACAGGGACATATTACAGTATAAGAAAATGGGCCTCTACAGGTAGAGACTGGTAAAATGCCGCCCCACTGCAGACCATCAGTCATTATGTGTGTCTTTATTGTTGCTTGCATCTCTTTGTGAGTATCTTATGTCTCTTTTTGGTAGTTTTGCATATGATTTTGATTCTGTCTGTGCAGTTCCTTTTTGCCCTTTTATGGTAATTTTTTTTCCTTATACTTATTGGAGGTCTCTTTAGGATGGTTTTGTATTTCTTTGTGGTCATTGTGAGTCTGTGGTTGTTCTGCATCTGACTGAGCTCTGTGATTTCCAAACACAAAATATTAAGTCACTTTATGAAGAGGCTCTGGCCTAGGCCTCCCTAGCCTCTCCCAGACGCTGTGCCTTTGCCCGGTAGGCCCGTTTTTTAATCCATCCATGCCGATACAATACCTGAGTAAATATACTTAGTTATTTCTCACCACTATTTAAAAAAAGAACATGTGATGCATTTATTTGATATTCTAAGTCCTTGCTGAAAGTGAAGTCAAATGTTGTTTAGTGATTTAATGACTAGTTTTTCAAGCAAATTCTTTTTTTTTTTTAGTTTTTAATCTTCTCTGTATTGTAATCCTAAGAATAACATTTGGACAAAGGCACCTAACAAATGCACATGGTGTGGGCTATCTGTCAAAACCAGTAATGATGCAAGTTCGCTCGTCGGATCCCCCTCGGTTTCCTCCCCTGCAACCATCAAACCAACCGCCTCTCTCGCTCGCTCTCTCTCTCTCTCTTGCTCTGGCAGGACGCACAGGGCTTATGTGTCTGGTACTGTACGGAGAGAGAGAGAGAGGGAGCTCTACTTTGAGTGACGTCACCTCTCCCATGGCGTCACATTGACGTAGCGCATACCAGGCGCTCTATGTGGAGGCAGAGCCCACATAAATGCACTATTTGACTTTCTCCCCTCAGACGGCGCACATAAACAAACCCGCTTTACAACTCCACACTTTTCAAAGCACCTATCAGTACTGACACGCTCAGCTCATGGGAACGGACGCAGACATGCTCTTAACACTCGGGAGTTTTTAATTTTTTTTTTAATTTTATATACTTTTGTACTTTGTGTACTTTAGAAGAAGTAGGAAGAAGAACAAGAAACTTTTTCACCGCCGATGCACTCTGTGCCTCACCAGTAGTACTGAGTTTATATACCGATATACATTATATATTTTTCTTTATTACTTCGGTTCTTGGTGATCATTCTGGATGGCGATAGGATACTTCATGCGAGGTTATTGCTACATGTAAAGACGGAACCTCTACAGCAAATCAGTAAGTAAATTGTGAATGAATGAAACGCTGCATTCTGCCATGTGGCGCAGTTGTTCGATTGTCAAGACTCTGTGTTATGTCGTGTTGAATGTATGCTCTAATATCATCTTCTGTGCCTGGTTTTCTAACTTTGTGTGTGTAACCTGTTGATATGACAAGTTCCAGTGCATGTACGGCGGCTCATATTGCGTGTGTGTGCGCGTGTGAGTGAATGAGTTGTGTCTCCAAGAGCAAGTAAGGCTGATTTCAAATTTAATTTGCGCTGGGAAGGTATCATATCCTTTTTGGTTGTCATGGAAATGAGATGCCTCTCACCCTCACAATGAGTGGAGTCAGACGTACTAATGGACTGAGTGGAGAATAGTCTAACCTACATTCAGGCAGGAGCTGAGACAGGATAGTTACAGTTCCTTGATTTCATGCCATGTGGGTTTTCTGACTCGTGCAGGATTTCCTGGGAGGTTGTGAGGTTAATGAGTGATTTATAGGTATGATATGGTGAGCTGCGTTTGAGTGTGTTTGTGAGATAGTGGGTGTGCTTGTGTTCATATGCCTATGAATACTACAGTCTGCTGTTCGAACCTATTCATAAATGTGTTCTTCATCTCGGTCTGCCTCCTATAGGGCTAGTTGTTTTCCAGATACTCTCATATCTGCGCTGTCGCCCCTCTGATGGCCAAACACAAATGTTAGCTGTCACATTGTCTCTGTGAGGACACGGCCTCTCCTTCCATTGATCGCAGGAAAAACACCCTCAGCCTTTCACCTGAAAGCCACATCAAATTTCAGATGCCCTCTGTGAAATACTACATAGTGACATCTGATGACAACACAGGCATTGTATGCTATAGCAGCAGCATGCCTCTGGGCCATTTGTATAAATTGTTACTAGTGCTGAGTGAAGGTACCTCACTAACTTGCTGATTTTACCTTTCTTACTTTCACACACTCAGGTTTACACATACAGTTGTGCACGCAGACACTTCTGATAGTCTCTCTGTCGGGGCTGATTTACAGTACTCACATATTTCTCTGGTCACTCCTTTATATCCTCTCTCTTTTCTGTCTCTGTTTGCTGGAAGCCTTGCGCTGTCCAGGGTTATTGGTGCGAGGGGCTACCGAGGGCTACCGGCGCTCTGGGGCGCGTGCTTTCCAGCGCTTATGTCGTTCTCTTGGTTACCGGTGCGCGCAGGGCCAGAGCCCCACCGGCCGGCTCTGCCTGGGAAATAAGTGAGAAGAGACCCGTTGGTTCATTTAGGGGGGGGGATTTGGAAGTGAATTTCTAACTTTGCAGAAAAGTATGTTTTTAACAATAAACGTGGCATTTTATTTTTACTGTTTAAACCCCCACAAGGATCACACAAGAGCGAATTTACGCACAATTCAGTAAACAGTGTGAGGGCTTACATCAAAGAATATCTCATTTTTGCCGGTGCTACAACCAACAAATTTTTAAAGTTTTTTTATGATTAAAGGTTTTATTTCTGTACACAAAAGGTTGAAAACAAAACAGTATAATGATTTAAATGTTCCATTCAATCCTAATTATATAAATGCTATACAGCATGACCTGTTTGTTTACTCTGGGTTTTTTTCTCTTCTTTATTGCAAACATAACGGAATTCTCCATGAAGCATTACATTTGTATAATAGCCACATCCTGATCAAAGAACCACAAGAGTCCGTAGAGGTTTAAGGTTTCCTCTCAGAGTTTCAAAAGTGGGGCTATTTTACACAAGGTGGATAAGTTTGATCTGTTAGGACAAAGATAAGAGACGCCAAAGAGGCTGCAGGTGCCTGTAGCCCGGAGAGTTGGTTATGATGGTTGTCAACATACTATTGATATGCATACAGTGAGATCGAGAGGTCTCTGGACTTGACGTGGACGTGCAGACTATCTGTGTATCTGGCAAAATGAGTCTGTGTGTGATATGTGTAAGAGAATGTGTGACCGAAAGGGGGCGTTCTGGGCCATGAAATCCGCCGGCCACCGTGCGCCCTGCTGCAGTGAGAGGGAGTTGAAGGCGCAGGGTGCACAGGACTCCGCTGCAGTTTCGGTCCGTCTCTAAACATTCTGAGTTTCTTTCTCCCTCTGGATGAACCTTGAGCAGGCGAATACGGCGGTGACCAGAGACAAGATAAGCGATGACCTGGAGGCACTGGCACAGACTACTTTTATAAAACTTGCCACTTATATAGGTCTGTATTTGTAGAAGTTGTGTATAGCTTTTAGCTTGGTTGAAATTGTCTTTTGCAGCGCAAAATAAAAACAGTAACAATAACGGAATGATGCTTAGTGTTAGAATGAAACTTGTCGCCCACGTAAGTGTAAGTCCTGAAATGAGCTAAAAGTCCTCAGTTGTGGTTCTTAATAATCTCTTTGTATCTTGGATTCATAATCGTGTTGTAAATCGAGATTGCTCTGTGTGTAATTTAAATGTGCATATCTTTCTCCTCCGTTGTTTTCCTACGGGTTTGCAGGAATAGTGGCACTGATTTGATCCTGAGGCGCACTCAGTAGTTTCCATATCCTTTTATCTTTCTGCTACTTTTCATTAACTGCCTTTAGCTGTCAGATTATATTTTTCACACATCATCATCTTTTTCGGTGTAAAATGAAGTTTTCTGCTTGTTGTCTTTGAATTGTGGCCAAATGTCTTTGGGCCCACATGTTTGGGGATATTATACAATCCAAACTAACCTAGAATCTGCTATGAGTGTGGGGAAGTGTTGTAAAGATATGTGTCCTTAACGGGAAAAGTGGCACATCTGTTACTGCTCATCTTTCGGTGTCTTTGAGTTTCGATGATCGCTGAGTGGAGCTGAAGGCGCCCACCTTACTATTCCGCCTGCCGCCACATCACTCGCTGTAACTCAGACATCTCTTTTCCAAACACAGGTTCGCGCGCCCAGCCGAGCTCGGAGCCCCGGCGATCGGACACTTCCTTTGCGACGCCAGCGGAGTCCTCCCCGCTCCAGGAGCCCTGTCCCAGCCGCAGCCACGCCACCCCTCAATCCCGGACACCCAGCACCATTCAGCGCGAAGCTCTTTCACCAGGTACGAACGGGATCCTGCTTCTTTCTTTCCTTCTTTCCTTCTTTCTTTCTTTCTTTCCTCAAATGATGCTTTTGTATCCGTGCGACTGTTGTAGGGCAGGTCTCTTTTTGTGCACTTACTGTGGTGTGATGTTTTGTCATATTTTAGTGTTGGGGGGAAATAGGCTACATCTTAGCCCCGAAAAATCTATTGTCAATTTATGGGTTGAATCCGAATAGAACTTATATCATGCTTTACCTCATGCTGTCTGCTCTTATTGAAATTCAGTTGTAAATGACAAAGTTTTAAGAAGATGCCGGTGATCTTTTCTCGTTGATCTCTGCACGAGGTTCAGCTCCTGTGCCCGTGTGCGTGTTGACTGGCAAGTGTGGACTGAGCTGACATTTCAACCTTTAGACAAACTGACAGAAATAAGACTTCTGAAGCTAGGCACACCTAAATCCAGAAGCTGTGGGTGAATTGCATAAGTGATAACCATCGATGCTCCTAATGACTCAACAAGCCTTTATGAATGACTTAGACCAACATTATGTGTATATACAGTATATTGTATTGTTTCAGTTACTTTTTTTATTCTATGATTTTATGCTGAATCTGTCAACAGAATATTCAGCCTCCACCCAGTTTCACCTTGGTCCTTGTTAAATTACATAGAAGCCCCTCAAATAAATTAAAGAGCTGTTAACATATAGTCACTGGTGTCATTTATACTTTGTGTGTGTGTGTGTGTGTGCATATATATGAAAATCACTGTACTCATTGTGTGACAGACCACAGGATTCAACCAATTTGTTTAATAATTTACTGAAAAAAAATCTTGTGTTTTTGTATTTATGTCTGCATCTTCATGTTTTTATTTGTTAGATCTATGGCATTCTGACAATGAACAAGCGCGCTCAGTTATTGGAACAGCTGCAGTTTGTCCAGTTGAAATGCACACCTCGAGGTTAGAGACTGTTTCCCTTTGCCTTACTTTGCTGCACCACCTATGTCTGACTCTGCTTGGGTTGTCCATGTCCTCTTGCTTGCATACACATATGCTTGCATGCAAGTGTAATAACAGCAATCTGACGGTGCTGTTGGAGTCTAGAGGGTTTCCTCCCGAGTTGGGTGACCTAAAAATAAAAACACTCTACCAATACAACTATATTTGTATTGGTGAGGGTGTGAGGGTGCACCTTTGTGTGCATGTGCGTGTGTTTATGTGTCACTGAGTGATTTAAAGCACAGAGGAGGGTGAGGAGTTTGCAGACACAAGTGGTTTTACAGGTTCTTCTCAGGATGAGGGCACACATTGTTGGCAGAATGAACCTATAGAGGTTCATGTTGACGTCTTGAACATCACTGGTGATGAAAATGTGTGTGTGCATACGTGTCTATGAAAACAACTCATCAAAAGCTTCTTTTGTCACCTGACACACACACACACACAGACAAACATCATGATCCCCTACAGTATGAAGTAGCCTAACTGTCAACTGTATTTGCCTCCTTTAGTCTAATAGGAGCATACATGCTGGTAAAATACTGAATATGACAGGTGTAAAGAGTCTTAAACACACACACACACACACTAGCAGCTAACACTGATCTGAGTCCTGACCTGGTGAGACAACACAGAGTTCCACAAAGGTCACTACTCTCCTCCTCTCACTTTTCAGTTTGCTTTCTCTCCTGCCTCTCCCTTCTTCCTCTGATGCCCGATCACCTGCTAAAGTCTAGACCAGAAAGGCCCCATGACGCCCATAATGCTGCATCTGTTTTTCCATGTGGGTTGAAGAGCTGGTCACTTGTAGAAGAAAAAAACGTGATGACGTCAAACACACATAGGCCTACAGCTTGACTCATATCCTCAATGTGAAAAAAAACACTTTTAGCTTAGTATCCTGACTGAGATGTAGGTTACACAAGGTTTTTCTGTATATGGTATGTATGACTAACTTAACTTGACTTTTGAGAAAATAATGTATACTTAACCTTTCATATCGCCTAGGCTGGGATTTTATCAAATCAGTTCTAAAATTATTATATATTTACCACCAGGTTCAGTCAGCTTTCTTGGTTCTTGGTTATAACAAATCCATCTAATCAAAGACCTACAGAAATGCTAAATAGTTAGAGGAATGAATAAATGAAGTTAGACGAGTATAGAAAGTGTCCAGAATATTTTTTCTTTTACTTATTTTAGCTTTAAATCATCCAGGATTTTGTAAGTCCTACAGCCAAACCGCATGCTGTCCCTGAGGTCTAATTTAATTGTGTTCGGGCTAAAATTATTGTGTCAGTCCGAATGAATGGCATTCATAGTTTTTTAGGCATAAATGACCGCAAACTAAAAGCTTTAGGCAGTTTTTAAACTGTATTTTACTGGTTTGTTAGTTATTTAAATAAGAATAAACCTGAAGTAACAAGACTTTTATTTTGGTGGAAAATGATCGGAGCTGTTAATAAAGGTAAAATCTTTTAAGTCGTGCGAGAGTCTGGTTGCATGGAGGTATTTGCGAGCGCTCTAACTACTGGAGGACCGATACGTCCCGTGTTTGACTGGACAAACATGACGCGCGGGGAAGCGGGGAGATTACGGCAGAGCGCACGCGCGTGCTGGGCGTCAATGGAAGCAGCGCTGTGTTGACAGTTTCCTGCTCAGAAGCGACGAGCAAACATCACAAAACCATGGCTGTGCCGACACTCATGACTGATTAGGCGGCACCCAGTCATCATATACACACACGTGCACGCTCAGAGGCACTCACGCAAGTGGAGTGTAATATTACGTAAGGGATTTGATAAGGCAAGACCATATAGTGCACACACTCACAGATGACGAGGTGGTGGTGGTGGCCTGGTGCTGTGACTGTAACAGAATTAAATTAAGACATGGCATCTGTAGCAGACAGAAGAAATACCTGTGTGTCTCTGTCTGTTTGTCTGTATCTAGTGTGTGTGTGTGTGTGTGTGTGTGTGTGTGTTAATGGATTTGTGTGTGTGGGGGGCTGTGCACTAAGTATCCAGCACCACCACGGGGTTCCATTATTATTTAATGTTTTGTCATCTGCTTTGCCATCTGACTAACCAGAGTACACCCACCCACACACGCACACTTGTGTAAGTACACACACTCACACACACAAACCTGACCACACACAGATACTTGCATTGGTTCTTTGCTTTGACCACTTTGCGCTGATGGACTGCAGCTTCTCTAACTGAACTAACTGTAGGAGATTCAGCAGTGGCGGAGGTTGTGTGTGTGTGTGTGTGTGTGTGTGCTCCGCATACTACACTTGTTCAATGAAATGCAAGAAGTGCTCAAGTAGGAAATTGAGTAAATGGAAAGAACTGTATTCTTGAAATGTGCATTTAGATATCTTTATGGCATGAAGACATCTCTGACACCCCAAGAACGGAAAGAACTGCCTGTTCCAATGCAGAGTTTTTTAGTCATTCACAGTTTAAATGTTGTAAACCCCTTTTTAGCACTACCTTTGCATGCATGTGCCTCTAGAGTATTTATTATGCAGATCTACTGTAGGGTTGTTCTTGTGTTGTGCTTCTCCTTCTTGTCTCCTTCTTGATGCCCTGCTTCTCTGGTAAATAATATGTCAGTATATTTTCTTCGCAGACTAATGATTCTTGCCAAACAGCTGTACTCTACTAACACCATAAAAATGCTTTGTGAATGAAAAGTTTTTGGAGTACACATGGTCTGATGTGCCACGCAGCTCTAACCTCTGGGTGTGCTCTGTCTCCCTGGCAGACATGCCCTGTGTGCAGGCTCAGTACGGGCCCGCCCCTCCAGGCTCAGCCTACTCTGGCCAGTCCTTCAGTTACCAGGGCGACAGCTACAGCTCTGACCTCATGACCCCTGACTACACCAAACTGGACCTAGGCGGGGGCGAGATCTCCGCTGCCGCTGCCACCACCTCCCTCCCCAGCTTCAATGTATTTGTGGAGGGCAGCTACGAGCCGAAGTCCTCCTGCCTCTACCAGATGGCTACACACAGGCCCACCATCAAGAAGGAGGAGGAGAGCTACCCGACTGCTCCACCACTGGAGGCCATGTCCTCCTCTACAATGTACTTTAAGCAGTCTCCCCCTTCCACTCCCACCACTCCATCCCTGCCGCCCCAACCTGGCACCTCCTTTCTGTGGGAGGAGCACTCCCTGGCCCCTCCGTCGCACCCCCACTCTATGGGCTCCAGCTTGGAGACAGGCCCGCTCAAGTCACCCCGCTTTCCACACTTCTACCAGCACTCGCCACCCCATAGTGGCGGCAGTGTTGGTGGGGGCTATGAGAATCTGGGAGGAGGACTGGTTCGCACCTCCTCTTCCTCCTCCTCCTCCTCATCCTCAGTTTCCCATACTCATGGTCCACCCCTGGAGCAGTCCATGTACCAGCTGCACCGCGGGGCTGGGGGTAGCAGCTTCGCCTTCCGCTCGCTGGCTCTTGGGCCCTGTGGCCCCCTACTGGGGGACAGCCTGCCCTCGCCTCCCCCACGTGGCCCCCAAGGAGAGGGCACCTGCGCAGTGTGTGGGGACAACGCGGCCTGCCAGCACTACGGTGTACGCACTTGTGAGGGCTGCAAAGGCTTCTTCAAGGTAAAAACCCTTCCACCTCTTCAGAGCTAATAAGTCAGAGGCACTGTTTCAATTTTGAGCTTTCACATCATCAAAGTTTGTCAAAGTCTTTTGAAGAATCCATTCCGCTTGCTTCTGATATTTGTGCTAGATTAACACACTGATAATTATAATTGTCATTCCACCTTAAAACATCACTATGTCTGTAAACTGGCTACAGACTGACTGTATCTCATTTGAAACAGTTTCCTGCATTTGTCTCTCTCCCACTTTGCACCCTACACTGCTCTCTCTAAATCGTCTTTAAAGTCATTATGAAAACACAACACACCCACAGAGGTTGTCTCCCCCAGCAACAGAGTAAGCAAAGTGTGTGTATGAATGACCTGAGTGTGTGTGTGTGTGTGTGTGAGTGCTTGTGTTACATGAGAACACAGGACTATAAAAACACATATTCTCTCTTAGACAACCAGGAAAAATTGCCCTTCATGCTTGATGCTCTGCAAAAAAGTGCAGCGAGAGCACAGGAGAAAAGGAATCCTCCTCGAAATCAAAGTTTCCTTTCAGCATGTTTGTAGTGAATTGGTGCCAACAAAAATTGACCAGACTTCACCGACATATACTTGGGATGATATGAGTCAGTTTGTAATTTGGTTCATCAAATGATTCAATCTAACATTTCTGAACTAGGTGTCTCACATCCCATAATACTGCACACCTACTAACACATATACATCACTAAGAGATGGTTTTTAGTCACATTTTTCATTTTCTTTGTGCAAGTCATAATAGAAATAACAAACTTCTCTGACACGTGCACTTCATTAAAATTACATCTGTCTCCCCCTCAGTGACACTGAAGTAATTTCTTTGCACAGTTTTTGAATTTTAACATTTTCCAACACGCTTGTTAAGCATTGTGTTGGCTACATGAGACAAGAGAGTGAAATTAAGAGACAGCAAGAAGGAGGGTGTAGATTTAATTGAATAATGCCTCTGGTAGGTGGAAATGAATTATCCTTTGTTTCAATTAGTTTCACGGTTTGTTTTTATTTAGTAATTAAGGACAGCAGCGTCTGGTGCCTGCTGCAGTGCTCACCAGCAACGCAGCCTGTCAGACCTCGCTATGCTTCCTTTACACATGCATGCAGATGCAACCAGCCATGCCCGCGCGACATATTCACATAACCACACATGCAAGTATAGAAAAACATATTTGTTCAGACAATGGTGTGCACATATTTTTCAGTGTTACACCCTGATTTCAGGATGTAACAGGGGAAAGTAAAACATGCCTTTCACACACACTTGCTCCTGTTCATATTCATGTTATCAGGCACATTACCTCCATCAACTTGATGGTTTTATTGTCCACTAAAATATTTTCCTTATCATATTTAATTAGACCTGAATAGTTATTACACATTAAACCTCAGTAGATGCTTCCTGTAAATTATTGTTATTTCATTAGTCTAATTTGAAGCACATTTTCACTATGAATTAATTTTAGCTCTTCCACAAGTAGATTTTTTTTTTCTGTTTATTATTTTTGGCAGAATTATGTTTTCCATTCACTGGGTTCTGTTAATTTAGAGAAGCCATTCAGATTTTGACTTTTTTTTAAATTAAGAATTAGATCTCAACTGTTAGTATTATACAAACATTGTGAGGAAACACAAAAAAACAACATTACAAAGTGACTTATTTTTATGCAAACACTGCAGTGGCTTACTTTAGCTGTGCTTTTATTTGTCAAATTAAATGGTCAGCTCTGTTCACTGCATATAATTTTTATTTTACATTGTTTGCACAGCATGCAAGTCAGAGAGGTTGGGAGCTATGTGAGAGAATTATAAAATACAAAAAACTTTATCACTTATAAAGCCATATATAACGCATAAAAGTTGATCATTTCATGCATTCACAGAGGAAAATGTAACCCGATAAGTTCCTACATGCACAGGCACAGACATACATGTGTGTATTTGCATGCCATAGCACTTTTAATCAGGTTAAAGGTCAAGTTATTTCTCTAAAAATTGTAATTCACAGACACCTACACATTTTTTTTTACTACAACCCACCCTTGCACTTTCTCTAGAGACAGATTCTGATTGCCTCTGATTAAGAAGCAGAGGAGAGGTGACAGGGAGAATGAGGGGAAGCTCAGTCCCTTAAGGCTTTTAAGTTAAGCTGAGGCTATTAGCGCATGTTACATGTCTAGAATCTGCCTCTGCATGCCTTCATCCAGCCACCACTGTACCCACGGCTTCCAAGCTTCTGTAAGCATGTTCATTTGTGAAAGTGCTTTTAGTGCACATAGCACATGTCTTAATTCTGACTCCTTTTTTTTTCATTTGAATTATTTCCTTGCACACATGCAGATTTTAAACTGGGGAGTTTTTCTCCCCACAGTGAGATTCAGCAACTGACTTGAAGCTACATTATAGGACAGATGAAAATAATTAAACTAGGACAAAGTTTACTCCACACTCATGCACACACTTTTTGGCTGGTCTGAATAGTTAGGCAATGCACAAAGCATAAGAGCTATTTGATTTCATAATCATATTGAGATCATTTGATTTGTGTGTTTTGTGTGTGTGTTCACCTGGCAGCCCCTTGATGAGTATCAGAGACTAGTTAGTTACACAGTATTAGCCCTGATAAGCTGTCTCTGCTGAGATGCCAGTCATGCTCCACACTCATTATTAGAAAATGAAGTCACAGAAGCCCCCCCCCAACACACACACACACACACACACACACACACACACACACACACAGCAGCGGAGAGCCAACAGGAGACAGACCAGCAACTCACTCATCAGACCTTAATTTATCTGAAGCTCAGCTGATAATTTCAATTTCCTGGAGCCACCTATAAAATAACCCCTGAAGTCAAGGAGGGAAAGAACGTCCTCCTCACAGCCACCAGAATCACCTAACCCTAAACCACTTTCACCCGAACCCCAATACAGCTGCAGGAAACATACCAGCTCCTACAACTAATAGAGTTCAAACGGAACAAAAGAGTTGCAGCTCTCCTTAAAACACAGACTAAGTCTCATTCCACGCAGAAAGCTGACAGAACACAGGCATGTTGCTTTGGCTTTGCTACCACAAAGCCTGAAAATGTCTTTAAACTTTGTGTTGGCTTCGTAAAGGTGTAAATAAATGTTTGCATGAAGCGTTGTGCGTCGTGCAGCCTCTTGTGCAACCTAATATTTAATTCGGTCTGTTACTAAACGGATGTTATTTTCCTTCAACCACATTAATAACCATAACTGACTTATCCCCGCGCACATGGACCACTGATCATTGAAGGGATGAGAGGGACACATTCACAGCGATCTGCGGAACCATGGCAACCACTCTCATTCGGCACTGCCGCCCATTACGCGCCAGTTCCGCACTCAAGCTGGAGCATATGGAATAATTGCTGTTATTGGTCTCCCGGGGGCATGGGCATGTGTGGCGCAAGGGGTTCCTAATTGGATTTATTTGTTTTGATGTGTTTTAGAGGCGTTAAAGAAGAGTAGGAGCCGTGATGCTTTCCGCGTTTCGTTGGTTTAATTTACAGTTTGTTCTGGTGCTGTCTTCCCTGGATGGACTACTGGACATGTCACATCTTGACAGCCTATACTGTAAACTTTGCAAATGACAGCAACATTAGTATGGTGTAATTGTACTTTTTTTTCAGATGTAATTGAATAACAAAGATGCGCCCCAGGCACAGGCCTGGCCAAGAGTTTTAATCCTGTAAAGATTGGCAACATGCAATTAGAGGCATCACTGGATTTGTCCTACAGTTACACGTGAACTGACAATATACATCTGTCGTTTGTTTAATTAAGAGTAATTACCAAAGTGGATATTCTATATGGGTCTGCTTATCCTAAATTATCCAGTCCCAAGTGCACGGGACTAGACCATTGTGTGAGCGCGCACGGGAGCGCACAGCCACTTACTCCTACCTCCTCTGTTATTAGTGTCTTTCATCCACGTGGGCAGTGCAGACGACCCCCACGTGGTCCGTTTCTGATTTCATTTTAATAAGGTCAGTAATAATCGTGCGAGCCATCCGAGGAGAAAACAGCTCCCGCGGGGCCCATTGAGAGAGGCGCCGTGCGCTAGGCCCCGAAGGTGCCACGAGCTGACCCGCGAGCTTCACAAACAATCTAATCACGCAGCTCTTGCGTCCACTGTCCCCCTGTCTCGCGGGACCCGCCTCGGCACGCCACGCGCTTCGTCTCCATTGTCAGCTCTGGCGCTAATAAAATTGTCCCTCCTGCAGGCGAGGCTTGTTGGAAAATTAATTTTGTCTAATTATACTGATGTCACCGCCGCCTTTCAGCGCGTAATTAAAATCTGACCTGCGAGCTTCTGCTTTCATTCTTTGATGGGGAAGGGGAAAAACAGAAATTGAATTAAACAAATCAAATATTAGGTGGTTGATTGTGTTTGCAGGCTGATTATCGGTATGTCCGTTTCTTCTCTCTCCAGCGCACCGTGCAGAAAAACGCGAAGTATGTGTGTCTGGCCAGTAAGAACTGTCCTGTGGACAAGAGGAGACGTAACCGCTGCCAGTACTGCCGCTTTCAGAAGTGTTTGAGTGTTGGCATGGTGAAGGAAGGTAAGAAAGCACACACGATACCCACTTAAAACAAGCCACAGAGTATACATAGCATGATAGTGCGGCGCAAATCTGACCTCCAGCCCACTCGGATAAAGTTTGTCTCTGCAATCGGGGTTTAATAGGCCGTTAATGACTTGGCCTGTGACCGCATCACACACATTGATGTAGCACAAACTACTCTCTCAAATGGAGGAAGAGAAGTGGAGCATACAGCAAACCAACTAATACCATTCACCTTTTAAACCTCTGAGTGCTGGATGATTTCAAAGGTTTGACAGAGGAACACAAGTTCCCATCCTGCTCACAGATTCTCCCAGGTTCCACCTCTCCATTTGTGTCATCATATCTAATATAGCTGACTATTAGTGCATAGCAGAGATGGTTTGCTGATGTGCAGAATCAGCATTGGTACTCATGCTACCCTCCTTTCCCTGAGGTTTATCACCTGTCTCACACATGTCATGCAACACCCCCACCCACATACAATACACACGCTCACATAAGTGCAAACAAACCCACACACCTTTCTCTATCCCTGTAACACATCTGCAGCCTGTAGAACAGCTCCACCGCCATCTGCTGGCTAGTGGCCTCCTGTGTACAGACTATGGGAATCTTGGAGAGCTCCTGGGCAAAAATCCTCCATTCAGTCATAATTCCACTGCTATAAAATACTGATATCAGCAAGAGAATAGAAGCTCTTTGTGCACACATACGTAAACATTACTAGATTCAACTGAAAAACCCTCTTGTTGTCTATCTTTTCTGGTAGTGGTACGCACTGATAGCTTGAAGGGGCGCCGAGGCCGTCTGCCTTCGAAACCAAAGAGCCCCCTGCAGACAGAAGCATCTCCTCCGTCTCCACCTCTCAGTCTGCTTTCCGCTCTGCTCAGGGCCTATTCCCACTGCACACCCCGTGACTTCGACTACAGCCAGGTACCCCCAACATGCAGCTTCTTTTATTTTAGTTACAGAAATGCACGTGTATGTTAAGAAGTATGACTGGTTTTAAGTGAATTCAGTAACCTATCTCTGTCCATCCCCACAGTTCAGTGCTGCCGACCCCCCTTCCTCCTCCTCAGATGCCGAGCACATCCAGCTCTTCTACAGGCTGCTCACCATCTCGATGGAGACCACACGTTGCTGGGCTGACCGGCTGCCTGGCTTTTCCGAGTTTCAGCGTGACGATCAGAATCTGCTCATAGACTCTGCCTTTTTGGAGCTGTTTGTTCTGCGACTGGCTCACAGGTAAAACGGAGAGATGGGACATGTGTTGTACCAGAACAAACCACATGATGAGATGTTGGATGAGAACTTTAACACTTGTAATTTAACTCGTACACAGATCTCCTCCCACATCCACACCTCTAAAAAAAGTTCTGGATTACTTTTTACTGCAGTATTTCCAATATAGGCAACTTTAGCAACAACTTTACTTCATTGGGCATATCATGTTGGGTCAGCCAGACAGTTAATATCTTTTACCATCACAGTATAGAGTGTAACTGTGCTGCCAAAGTGGTGTGCTGCTGTGTTGGTGTATCTCCAGAGTAGGAGTGGAGCTGAGTAATCGCCATATGAACCAAATTATGAATGGAGTCTGTAGCTATGACAGCAGCTACACCCACAGAGTTCCGCTCTGCTCATCTGATATCTGACGCACAGAGAGCTCTGTGTGTGTTCTGTGGACTAAAACTGTGCTAACATTGTGAACTATGAATTGACAAGATTAATTCTATCTAAAGCTGATCAGCTGAGAGAAGTGCTGCTGGAAGGAAATACATGTTCAGTTCAACTGACTGAAATTTAAAAAAAAAAAAAAAAAAGGAATTGACTTCATTTACCTTATGCATCCAGTGGTGTGCATGTGTGTGTCTCAGTCCTGGATACCTGTGGTGCCATTATGACTGCCCCAGCCCATCTTTGCCTCAGAATTGCCCTGGGTTACCAGTCTGCTCTAGTAAGGCATGTGGCTGCTTAAATTTATGGGGAAGAGGAGGGTTGGGCTACAAGCTCATCCTTTTGTCTGCACTGTTGTCTAGGACAGAAAGCCAACACAGTCAGACACACAAGCACACTTACTCACACACAAACTGATGATGTAGAATCCCAATTTTTGCTGTTCCTCCCAGTGTAGGTCCAGGTGCAGGGTGGGTAGAGGATGGGTGGTGGCATCACAGCCCCAGCAGGAGCGGGAGCTGAGACTCTGACTCACATTCAGCGACGGACTCATAGGGGCCTCTATCAAACACACACATGCTCACACACACTGTTCATCTTCCCATCAGCCAAACTCCCACAGCACAGAGGAAAACACACACAAACCCTGCACTGTCTTACTTTCTCCCAGTTCTGTGAGAGCATAAGATGTGGTCCTCACTCCCATCTCATTGTTGATGTGGCCCTGCGCTGACCCTGTGTTGAACTGAGATGCCTTGCAGACCCCCGTGTAGCATATGTTTGTGTGCTTGTGTGTGTGTGTGTGTGTGTGTGTGTGTGTGTGCTCAGTGTGTGTAGAGTAAATTTGCTCCACTCTTCTGGGCTGGCATTGCTGTAAGCACTCTGTTACCAAACAGTTTCTGTGGTTATTGGTTGATTACCGTGGTGACAGTGTAGTCAGGGGTGAGTGGAATGTGTGGCAGACATCCAGCTGCATGTGCGTGCGTGTGTGTGTGTTTGTGTGTGTGTGCATCTGCCTGGCTGGCTGTGTAGTTTTGCTCATGTACTACTACCAGACATGGGTCAAATAAAATTTTGAAATTATTCTTAGCTGTTTTTTTTATCTTAATCTAAAGCTTAATGTATTAGTTGGCTTTGTCTTACTTAATCAGGACAACACAGACTTTGTCAGTTAAGATTCATTGACATTTTTAATAGTGATTCATAAGATACTGTTTTACTGTTTGACAAAGTGCATCTCACACATTTGTTTGTAGTTACATGTATTCCATGATGCAGCATCCGATATTCAGATGCATAGTGTTGCCAAGCTGTCACTCACTAAACATTATAAAAGTTCAAATATGTACACATGTGTCCTACACTTTACAAATAGCACTGAAGCAACTTCGGGAACATTTAAGGGAAATGTCAAGGCTCCCAGGAGTCATACAGCTCTAATCAGAGGTGTAAGATGTTATTTGAGAGATTGTTGATGAGAGGCCAGTTGTGCAGGCCGATGACTTGAACTTTGATATGAAAAGCTAAAATGGAAAAGAAATTAGATTTACTTCCTTGGTAACAGGTGATGGGTGGCTCCCTACCACCAACCTACTTCTTCACGGATGGACCTTTTGATCCCAATGGCTAGTGCTCCTTGTGTTTTTTTATTGGTGCATGTGAGACAGAAGCTGTTCTTTTGGACATGTATGATGCATATGTTCTTCAGAGAGTGAGTGGCGTGTACTATAGTGAGAACAATTAGATCATGACTGCTAAACTGATGCTTGTCATCAGCTGTTTTCCAATCATGCACATTACCTACTTTGCCTTTGTCCTGCATCTTCCATCTGCATTAGTTTCAAGCAACCCTTTGGTTCTTTTAGGCACAAATAATAAAGGCCAGTCACTGAATGCCCACTCTCTCTCCCTCTCTGCTTGAAGGTAAAAAAGGGATTTTGTGTCATGAGTAAATGATGGTTAAATACACCTGAGAAGCCTTTTCATTTCCTCCTTAAGGCTTTGTGTTCCCACTGTGTTCTGCCTGGGCACATTCAAGCTGTAACAGCTTACCTTTCTGCAGATGCACTCTACCCTAACACTTCACCTCAACCTGCCAAAAGGAGAAATAGTTATGTTTTAAAATGCTACAGTCTGGAAAATCCAATGCTAATGAGCTGCATGCATGTGCTTGATGTGTGTCTTGTTTGTGTGTGAGTACATATACTGCCATGTTTTCTCATTGTTTTTATTGTAATTGTTTGTATAGAAAGCCATATGTACAGTACATGGAGGAAAAGACAGTGTATAATTGGAAGAGAGTTCTAACCAGAGTCTTCTTTTCTCTATGGGTTTCTCAGGTCGATGCTGTCAGAGGATAAGCTAGTGTTCTGTAACGGCTTGGTGCTGCATAGGTTCCAGTGCCTTCGTGGGTTTGGAGAGTGGCTGGACTCCATCCGGGACTTCTCCACCCACCTCCAGAGTCTAAACCTGGATGCCTCTGCCATAGCCTGTTTGGCTGCCCTCGTGCTGCTCACAGGTAAAAACACAAGCCAAAATCCACCATCAAGAGAAAATAAAATGAAACGATTATGTGTGACATGAACAAAAATAGCAGCCTGTTTTCAAAGTTTGTTAGACACACAGCTGTCCCTCTCTACATACATGAAAACGCTGTCACTCATACAAGCTGCTTTTATGTAAATATATGGATACAAATCCACACATACACACACCTTGTTTCCTTTGTCCAGAGCGGTACCTATTTGTAAATCAGTGTGACACTGGACAGCGGACAGATGGATACATCCACTAACGTCACACTTCAGCTCAAGACACACATGCGCACGGGTGTTCTCACACATCTCTGCCTGAAGCAAAAACCTGATACCCAGAACCACCTGCTGCACCTGCCACACACCTGGCGCTCTAATCAGTGTACATGTGCAGAAAATGGAACAGCAGTCACAGCTTTTTCTGAGATGCAACAGAAGGGACAAGAGTTTAGTTGTCAGTTAAGTGCATTAGAAATGCATTAGAAATAGCCGATTATCAACGTAGCCCAAGGTGACACGATACGCCTGTGAAATTAAGAGCACACCATCATGTCAGATTCAGAATCTGTGTAAATGTGTAATGGAAAAAATACCCCTCCCCCCCCATGCCCAGCTTCCTTACCTCACCCTGCCCCCGCCACCTCATCCTCCTCTTCCTCCACCTCCTCTTCCTCTGTCTAAGCCCTCCAACCCCATCCTCACTCTCTGGGGGAGCACTTAACTCTGTGCCTGATCGACCAGCCCACTGTGGAGTACAGCTCTGGAATGGTGTCTGCGCTGTTCTCAGTGGTGCTCTGCCACCTCGGCAAAGCACACAGCACACCACCACGAAAGAGCCGCCAGAGCCACCAGGCGATCGACCGCTTCAGAGTGGCCTGTGCAGAAAGGCAGTCATTGATCCCTCCCCAGGAGCTCGCGCACATAGAGAAAGAAGGGATGGGGAGAGCAGAACGAGAGGGAAGCGAGAGTTTGTGAGAGGTCTGAAAGCCACAGTGAAAGGAGGGCTGGAGTGACTCTGTAGCAGCAAACACAGAACAAACAAAACAGCCACATAAGCAAACAATAAATACGCTTCAGATAATGGATACCTCAAAGTGAGACTGGTCTTAGTGACAGCCTCCCTGCAGCACAGGCTGGCTGTGTGTGCATGTGTGTGTGTGTGTGTGTGTGTGTGTGTGTGGGGCTGGACACCCTATTCTCTGTAGAATGAGTTAGTGTCACATTAGGCTTTATACGGGTGCCACTGGAGTTGCTATGGGCAGCAGTGTGTGTGTGTGTGTGTGTGTGCGTGTGTGTTTTTAATTTCATTTGGCTGCTCACAGGGCCGGATAATCAGCTAATTGTTGAGCACTTTTGTTTCTGTCAATGTCTTAAATTGCAGGGACTCTGTGTGTGTGTGTCTGTGTGTGCAGAGGTTTATATATATGTATGTTGTGTGTGAGTGTATGTACGCAGTGTGCAGGGAGCTTATTAGGTTAGGCCTGTGTATTGATCTGTAGTGAGTGAGACAGGTTAAGGCCTGCTAAGAACATGAGCCATACAGGCTAATGAGGTGAAATTCAATATAAACGAAGATGTAGCTAATGCTCTTTCAGCTGAATGAGCTCTGATGGGTGTGTGTGTGCATGTGTGTGTATTTTTTTCCCACTGACTTAATTTTTGTCATTTAATGAATTATTCTCCTAACGTCTCTGTCTGTCTTTCCACAGAGCAAGTCCCAGGTCTGAAGGACTCAAAGCGGGTGGAGGAGCTGCAGAATAAAGTGATTTGTTGTCTCAGAGACCACCTGGGTTGCGGCCCTTCTTCCTCCTCATCCAAGGCTGTGCCCCCTCTAAGTCGCATTCTGGGTTTGAGGGCAGAGCTCCGTTCCCAGAGGACCCAAGGCCTGCAACGAATCTTCTACCTGAAGCTGGAAGATCTGGTACCACCCCCTCCGTTGATTGACAGATTCCTGGACACTCTGCCCTACTGACAGTTCAGTCTGACCACCCAGAGAAAAACCCAGTTCACGTCCAGTTCAGGCCTTTAAAACCCCCCTCACCCCACCCCCCACAACCAGAGAGACTCAGTCACCTCTGACTGATGCAGAACTGAGAGAACCAATAAGATACTTTTCAATCAATGGAACAACCAATCAAGAATGCCTTTTCACTCAAACTGACAACCACTTAAATGCTTTTCACCAGAATAAAAGACTCAAATGCTTTATCACTTTTTATTTTTCCTCATGAGAGAGGATGACAAGACTGAGATGGAACAGAAAAATGACTTTTTACTGTCTTCTCTCCATCTGGGTGACAGCTCATCCAGCAAAAAAAGACAAAACTCTGTGTTTATCTGTGTTTCGGCCTGGCTCATCCAGTCTGAGGATTTTCTGTAGTACAGAGGAAGAGGAGGCATCAGTATGATTGAATGTTTTCAAACCTGAAGATGTCCCTGTGAAACACAAGTTGCTGTGTATTCTATTTCCTCCGCTGAGAGGAGGAAGGGGTTTTTTCATACTTAAATGTACTGAAATGTCAGAGGTCAGACAGTGTGAGTATACACTTGTGGAATCATGATAAAGCAGGACACAGATATTTCATAAACACATGAAAGTGGCTGTTGAGTTGGGCTCTTGATTCCAAGTGCAATTTCTTAAGTGCTATCTCACCACAAAAGCAAGAGGTGGAGAAGGAACGGTTTAATTTCAAACTCTAAATTATTTTAATGCAAAGACCTCTCCTGTACTCTAAGTATCTAAAAGAAAGAAAGACAGTCTCCATCTGGCTTTAGACAGCAGAGGAGATACTGTGCACTAACGATCGATGACTGAGTCACCCAGACTTGAACTTGCTCTAGTATATTTTTTTTATTAACTCGTTTTGAAGTCATAGGTCGGGTAGGAGTATGGAGGAATGAACATGGACATAAATTGGCTTTTGAAGCACTTACACCCTGTAAAGGGCTAGAGGCACAGACACACACCCTACCTGCTCGTACGGAGGACGGTGAGCGGAGGGTGCTCGACAGATAGCTGCAAGTTCAGGGGTGAAACATTCCGCAGTCGTGCTCTTTTTCTATTTGTTCCTATTGTGGAGATTGTGTGAGAATGTGGAGGACATGGTTGCATACTGTCTTTGTGTGTACGCTTAGAGAAGCCAGGGTCAAATGCATGGTGTGTCATAAGCTGTCAAGACCTGCCATAGCCTGTCAAAACAGCTCGAGTTGTGTTTGTGTCTCAGACTGCGGCTCTATGGGGATGTCCCTGGGCCTCCACCACCCACTCACACACTCACAGCAGCAGTTTGAAATATGAAAAAAGCAAATTATAT